TTTCAAATACCTGCATTCCCAGATTTCCACATCTCTAGATCTCTACACTCCCCAATTTCCATATTTCCAAATACCTATATTTCCAAATTCCCACATTTTCAAATTTTTATGTCTCAAGTCCTCACATTTCCAGATCTCAGCGTCATCGAATACCTACATTCCCAGATTTCCACATTTCTAGATTTCTACACTCCCCAATTTCCACGACCCCAAATACTTATATTTCCAAATTGTCACATATCCAAATTTCTGCATCCCAAACCCTCACATTTCCAGATCTCAGCATCCCCAAATACCTACATTCCCAGATCTCCACATTCTCAAATTTCCATATCCCCAAATACCTATATTTCCAAATTGTCACATATCCAAATTTCTTCATCCCAAATCCTCACATTTCCAGATCTCAGCATCCCCAAATACCTACATTCCCAGATTTCCACATCTCCAAATTTCCACACTCCTCAAATTCCTATATTCCCAAATTGCTACATGTCCAAATTTCCACGTCACAAACTCTCACACTTCCAGACCTCACCATTCCCAAATACCTACATTTTCAAATCTCGACATTCTCAAATTTCCACATCCCCAAATACCTATATTTCCAAATTCCCACATGTGCAAATTTCTACATCCCAAACTCTCACACTTCCAGATCTCAGCATCACCAAGTACCTACATACCCAAATCTCCATATCACCAAATTTCTACATATGCAAATCCCTACACTTTCAAATTCCCACACCCCCAAATACCTACATCTTCAAACACCCACATTCTCGATTCCACATCTCCACATCCTTCACATCTCCACATCTTCCACATCTCTAAATCCTCCACATCTCCAAATCCTCGCCTTCCCAAAATTCCAAATCCCCAAATCCCAAGCTTCCCACCACATAATCCTTAACACGTCCTCTCTCAAAATATCTCCCATCCAAACAACCATAAACATACCAAAATCAGTCAACATTCTTACCCAGATTTCCAACCTCGTTGACAAGCAAACATTTCCTCGAGGCTCCACATACAATGTCATAGAATGTAATAATTGTCAAGTGAATTTATTTAAGGTTCTTGGTCGTGAAAATAAGGTCCTTTCGATAGGTTCGATTTCGCGTCGAGGGTCAAGCGGATTTGGCTTGTCGGGCCGTGAATCTTGGCCGCTCGTGAATCGTCTCGTTTTATTTATGCTCTCGAGCCGTTGCGAGCGTGTCGCCTGGCAGAAGCTCCGGACAGGAAGGAAGAAGCAAAAAAAAGAAGCGAAAAAAAAAGAGAAGAGGACACACGAGAGGGAGTCAAGAGAGTACACGATTACAATTTATACGCGTGGCTGGTAGAGAACCTCCTCTCGTCTCGGTTATTCCACTCTCTTACTTTTTATTTATGCCGATGCGGCGACGCGAGTCGCGCGATCACCGACCGATAATAATTTTTCATTACATGACCGTGGCTGGCGTTGTGAAACGCGTTCCAAGTTCGATGTCGACTTCTTGCGATCTGTTTTTCTGACTAATGAAAAATCGAACGTTTGCGAGATCGTTTTTGTACGGGGATTAAAGTGCAAGTACTTCGTTCAAGTATAGATCGGTTTGTAGTTTGGATGTTGTGAAGCACTCTAATATCTTGCATAATTGAAATTAGTTGAACTTCTCGTTAAAATGAGAAATTATACTTCCAAGTTCGTTGGAAGTATAATTCGCTGATTTTAGGTGGAGAACGCAAGACTAGATTATCTGTTGTGAGCCATTTTGTTGAGGTCTCCATTTTGACTACAAATAGCTTGACCGAGTATTGTGAATATTTACAAAGTTTTAATTTAAATATTTCAACAATTCGAATTAGTTTCAGATAGAGTCAGAAAGATGTCCCACAAACTATGAGGATAACCTCAAAATAATTCCAGAGTCACCAAATAAACAAGTCCAAATAAAAGATGTAAAGAGGGTATCTGTACATAGCAACTGAAACTTGAAGTTGACTTAACAGAAAATACTCCACAAACTTTACCCAAAACCGAATTAAGAATTAATGAATAATCACGTAATAAGATCTGAAACCTCAAACGAGGCAATAAATGCTGATTAAATATCCACGTCGAAGTGCGAGGGTGACAAAAAGAGAAAGTCTATTAATCTCTATAATGGCGTACTCTCGGCCCGAATCGAATATATTTGCCGACCATAAAGAGCGCAAAGACATAAAGTGAATTCGGTCCGACAAGGGATGTTCGCCTCGGCAGTTACGCACGGTCCCGTGACCCTTTGATAGAAATTTATGTCAACATCGGTCTGCTCTTAATCGTCGTTAACCCTAATCAATTGGTGGTGAATCGTTTCGCTGTCTGGATCGAAGCTCACGTGCACGTGCACGATTAGCCGGCCAGAAAAGAGAGCCGTCGGAGCTTAACTTTCGTACGAAATGTTAGTCTGTATGCCGTAACTTCGATAATTCCTCGGTCGCGATCGTTGCGTGATCGCGAATACGTTCGATCGCATGATCCCCGTGATTACACGTTGCCGCAATGAATTACTTACAAGGCTAAACAGAAACTGTTTATGGGATACGAGTTCCCGAGCAAGATCCTTGCTCTTCTTCTGCGAACGCTCCCTGGAGCTTTTAGAAACACGATATTCGCTTTGGAATCGCGATTCTGTGTTTCTTATTTCGCTGTTGATTATCGTATATTGTCTGATATGTGTGCTATTGAAGCTATTCAAATGGCTGAATGTAATTGCTACTCCACTTAAGATCAATGAAAGGAGAGGAGCTATTCCTACTGTACAAATTCTATTCAATGGGAGTCACTGGACAAGGGATATGGAAACGTCAAAATCTATTGTGGGGAACTAAAAATTAACAGGTACTCGGAACTACTCAGGGCTAGGAGGCTATTTCGTTACTCAGAACTACTCAATGTTACTCAAATCCATCAGAAGCTATTGGAAACTACTGTGTGCCACCACAAGTTACTCATTACTAGTTAGAAGCTGTTCAATGTCATTCAAAGATACTTGAAAGCTACTCAAAGCTACTCAGATGCTATTCAATGTTGCTCAATGCTGCTCAAAATTATTTGAAGCTATTTGATACTACCCTAAGCTACTTGGTGCTAGATAGAAGCTACTCAATGTTATTCAAAGCTACTCGGTGCTAATCTGAAGCTACTCAATGTTATTCAAAGATGTTTGGAAGCTACTGAAAGTTACTCAGATGCTATTCAATGTTGCTTAATGCTGCCCAAAATTATTTGAAGCTATTCTATGCTACTCAGCATTACTCAAAGACATTTACTGTTCAAAGCTACTCAGCTACTCAGTGCTACTCAATATTACTCAGAACAATTTAAAGCTTCTCAATATTACTGAGAGTAGCTCACTGTTTTTAGAGGTACTAACAGCTGTAGCTACTTTAAAACTAGTCGTAAACGGTAAAATTCTACGTCACACAGAATACATCACCGCTGACTTTTTCATAGCTCCCTAGCGTTTCTCTCAAATGAATATCCCAGGGATTTGGTTAGCAGACGTCTGTCGCCCAAGTTTTACGAGATCTCGTAACTTCCCTCGTCTCTCGAAATCTGATAAGACAACTCGCGGAGCAACCGCGGAAAAATAATGAACGAGATCGTGCAACCGTTCGCGGCAAGAACAACGAGACAGACAGTTGATTATCATTCAAACGGCACCGGCGACCGGTGACTGCCCTTGGCCATACGGAAAGGCGACGCTTCGCAAACGAAACGCTTTAATGCCTGAAAGAGGAGGAGACGTAATTGTCGGTTCGTTTCTCCTCGTGTCGTTAAACTCGTCGAGCCTTCGTCGAGGGTCAATATCCACCACTTACGTGCTTATCTTTCCAACTAATTCGTTCTACTTTCGCGGAAATTCCACGATGGATCAAACGTTTTTGGACAGGGAACTGTTTAGCTAGCGACGGTCAAGTGTCTTTGCTAAGCTCTGAGGTGTGGATGTTGACAGTCGGCTTTCAGTTTGGAGACTTGAAAGCTTGACATTTGTAGTTCTCTATGGGTCTACATCTTCTGTCTTTCTGTCTGAGTTGCACATGTCTGAATTGCACATGTCTGAATTTGTTGAATGTTGGAGGACTTGGCATTTTCTTCTGAATTTTTAAATTTGCAATTTCCCATATTACTATGGCTCCAAATCCTCGTAACTTTAATTTCAACATCTCTACTTGAAACATCTCCGAATCTCTAAATCTCCGAATTCCCAACTCAACTTCCCAACTTACCAAATTTCCATATCTTAAAATTTCCATATCCTGAAATTCCCACGTCCCTAAAACTCTCATGTCCCCAGATCTCTACGTCCTCAAGTTCCCACGTCTGCAAATTCTCACATTCCCAAATCCGCAAACCTCCAAATCTCTGAATTTGCAAATCCCTAATTTTCCAAATTCCTAAATCACACAAATCTCTACATCTCCTAATCCTCACGTCCCCAAATCCCCAAATCCTTAAATTTCCAAATGAGCAAACTCCTCCCAACTTCATAGAACCTCCTCAAAAATAAAAGCATCAACTCCCATAAAAATGCCAATACAACAAAAGGAAACTATACAATATAACGGTATGGAGAATCAACTATTCTCTTTTTTACACCAAACTTTTTCAATCAATTCACCGTTTTGAAGTATAGAAGAAAGTTGCAAAAGAAGAACCGGAATGATGATTTTTTCTTTCTAGAAACGTGACTAACTGTACCTTAGGGGGACCATGATCGTTAAAACTTCTGTGTGTATAATTTAGCGAGCAAGTTCGTATTGCGAAGCTAATTTCGTTCCACGAGAACGAAATCAGATCCGAATCGTGATCAGAGATCGAGATTTGTGCGTAACGATGATAGCTGACCTATTTTCTTTTTAACGTCGACCTATCGAAACGAGGTTCCAGTTTTTGCGTAGCGCAAGAACGTGAATAGAAATCTTTCAGACGTTTTGGTGTCGATTATTATACGTTGATTTGTTTGTTACAGAAATTACTGTCATTCTTTCACCCCAAACCGACGCGAGTGGAGAAATCGGACAACAACAACACGAACAATTCTACGACTAACAACATCCACAACAACATGCCGATACACGACTCTATCAGCGTCACTTCTCATGACGTGTATCGTACGTACATATTCTTATGTATTTATTTGCGTAAATATTTGACGTGAATCGTGAATAAATGAATAGTAAATGGCTAATGAATAATTCTTGGAATGTTAAATTATATGTAAAAGTGTTTGTGTAAAAAATTTAGAGGTTGATTTTTTTTAATTTATTTGATATCTGTGCATATGTGATTTTAGTCACATGTGGTATAACAGAAATTATATTATACTTATTATTTACTAATAAACTACTATTATTTAATAATAATTTTAGAATATCTGTGCATATGTGATTATAGTCACATGTGGTATAACAGAAATTATATTCTACTTATTATTTACTAATAATTTACTATTACTTGATAATAATTTTAGAATAATTTCATAATAATTTTAGAATATCTGTGCATATGTGATTATAGTCACATGTGGTATAACAGAAATTATATTCTACTTATTATTTACTAATAATTTACTATTACTTGATAATAATTTTAGAACAATTTCATAATAATTTCAGAATAATTCTATAACAATTCTACAATATTTCTATAACAATTTCTTTATATTTTCAATGAAAGCTCCGATCACAAAAATGCATAACCTCAAAGATCATATAACTAAAATTTGAAAGAACATGATTGAAATTTGACACGTACTCTAACGCAAAGTTGTTTCGCAAAATGCAGCTGGGAGATTGCCAATGACATCTCAGGAGGCCCTCAAATATTACGGTTCGAGGCTCACAGAATTCGAACGTGCCGAAATCGAGAAATACTCGGAGATTTGGTACCTCGGTTTATCGGCCCATAAAATCCACGGTGAAGAAGGATCATCGCAAAATGGCGGATACGACGATGAAAATGGTAGTTACAACAAGGTCCTCCACGATCATATCTCGTACAGGTGCGTACCTTTCCCTCTTTTTCGTTCTGGTTTTCTCTTTTTCAGAACTTTCCATTTAATTACGAACACCCAGTGCCCATTAACTCGCGTCGATTTCACGTTTTTTTTCCTGATACAATCGTGATTTATCTTGTAATTAGAAGGTGCGACGTTTAATAGCCCTATCCGTTCGGCTAAATACGAAATCGGTGTAAATATCAGCGAGATTCGAGTGAAATATTGTTTAATCGATACTTGTTTGCGTACTTTGTGATCGACGATAATTACTAATGTTCACACTTGGAAAGTTGGATTATTAGAAACATTAGATGAGATATTTTAATTTTTATATTTACAAGGGGTGAACTTGTATAGTTGAATATTTCAATTTTGTTATATTTTGTTTTAATTTGATAAACGTTAAAAATTTTCAAATTTACATAATTTGTAATTTCGAAGTTTAGCAATGTAAAATTATTAGCAAAAGTTCAACAAAAATATCGAATACTCAACCCTTAAATTTTCAGGTTTCTGTATTTTTAAATTTAGGAATTTCGTAAAATAAAAATATCAAATTTCCAAATTTTCGAATATAAAATTTGTTAACTTGCAAAGTTGCTAATTTTTAATTTGAAATTTGGTAATTTGGGAATGTAGAAATGCAGAGAATAAAAAAATTGTAAATTGACAAATTTTGGATATAAATAAATCTGAATTTTATGTTTGCACAACCTCAAGTTACATCGATGTTGCAAATCGTCACATATTTCTGAAACGAAGAAAAAACATTTCAATCCATGCAACTAAACTGGTAAATATCATATTCCGACCACGTTTTTATATCATGCAATCGTGTTTGCATCGTTTTAAATACGTATTTTAGAACTAGATGAAAACCTTCGATCGATGAAATTAAAACGATAAATTGCAGTCGTGAAAACGATCGTATTGCAGTCGTGTTTGCATCGTTTCGAAACTTGCTCTCGGAAATAGAGTACCGGGAAGTAGTTATTAAATTTGTGTCGAAACGGGATATATTGGAGGGAAAAATTTCGTTTGCAACATTCGATTGTTCCGCAATTAAAATGCACAGAAGCTTTCACGTGTATTTCGCATAGCTTTCAACTATGTATTTTCATAGTCCAACCATAGTTCAATCGATTCAAGTTTCATTCAGAAAATCGATACTTTAATCAAAGAATTTCAAACTTAAACGACTTGTAACAAATTTTTGTTTGTACGAATAAAGTAAGGTGCATATTCATAAATTTCAGTAAGAAATGTACATAATGTAAATAATCAAAGAAGCTCGTTATCAGTAAACGTAGAACTTATCTGAGACACATTCTTTCTTGTGTATTGTAATTTAAGAATTGTAATGGTACGAAAAAGTAATTTTGCCATTTTTTGTTCAGATATGAGATATTGGAGGTGATTGGAAAGGGAAGCTTTGGACAAGTGATCAGAGCGTGGGATCACAAGACGGGTCATTATATTGCCATCAAGATCATCAGGTTCGTGAATTTGGCGCTTAATATTTTATCTGACAATGAGAAAATAATTATAGTACAAACGTTTAATGGGCGTTTTTGTGTGGGTTGTTTTTTCAAGATCGATCAGTTCTTGGTTGCTATTTTATTGTTTGATACATTCTTCATGTAGAAATATTAAATATTTTGTACTGGAAATAAATATTTTATGCTTCAAATATTAGATGTAGCATATTAGAAATGTTAAATGTATTATATTTGAAAAATTCAATGTATTAATATATACTACACATTCAATATATACTTCAAATATTAAATACACTATAAGATGAATTAACTGATACATTAAAATTTGAATATACAAGATTAAAAAATAAGCTCACGGTTCCACCTTTCCTTGCTTATTAAATTACAAAGAAAAAATGTATATATGTTCGCTTCATCTATGAAAGAGCACAGCGTTAAAATAACGTGTCATGTCGTGGTTGCAGGAATAAAAAGAGATTCCATCATCAAGCGCTCGTTGAAGTGGAGATCTTGGAACATCTCAGGAAGAAAGACTTGGACGCAAACGCGTCGCACAATGTGATACACATGCTAGAATATTTCTACTTCAGGAACCACTTGTGCATCACTTTTGAGTTAATGAGGTACGTTACATAATTTTTTAAAACACTCTTGTTCCCTTTTGCTGACTTCTTGTTAACGTGTTCAAATAACGAAATCTGACTGACTCCCAAAAGTATATCATATTCATCTCTATGTCTTTTTTTCAGTTTGAATTTGTACGAGCTAATCAAAAAGAATAACTATAAAGGATTTAGCCTGAGCCTAATACGAAGATTCGCCAACTCGCTGATTAGCTGCCTCAGACTGCTGTATCGAGAGAAGATAATTCATTGCGACTTGAAACCTGTAAGTAAACTAAATTTTTCAACATTTCGAAACTCGAGGTCTCAAGTTCACAAATTTCCACGATAAAAAATTGCCCAGTTAAGCTCTAAAATTTTCAAATCTTTAAACTTGTTGTATGAAACCTCCTCCCACATAAAAAATGTACCAGTCCCATCTCACAAAGAAGTCCAAAGAATGAAGCTCGTGCTTCCATTTCACTTTCCTCCGCTTCATCGGAACGTTGAACCAAGTATCCTTGGTCGTTTAATGAAAGTTGTCCTTCCAATAAATGCGGTGACCCGCGTGCTAATAAAGCAACGCGTAAACGAAGTAAATAGACGCGATGTAAAGTAACGAAGAATGCGGGAGGTTAATAGGCGAAGGGTAATGGTAGCTTAATGCTGTTCTCTGATCCAGCGTTGTTCGTTTACAGGAGAACGTGCTTTTGAAGCAGCGGGGTAGCAGCTCGATTAAGGTCATAGACTTCGGATCCTCGTGTTACAGCCACCAGCGTGTATATACGTACCTTCAATCCAGGTTTTATCGAAGTCCAGAAGTAATTCTGGGTCTTCCTTACGGCACACCGATCGATATGTGGAGTTTGGGCTGTATTCTGGCCGAACTTTACACCGGCTGTCCATTGTTCCCGGGCGAGGATGAAATCGAACAGCTTGCCTGCATTATGGAGGTTCTTGGACTTCCGCCGGAACATATTATCAATCATGCGTCTCGTCGCAGGCTTTTCTTCGGTAAGTTAGTTCCGTTGGTTCCATTCTTCAAATTCTAAAATTTGTCGGACTGTTTTTCCCGAAGTCTCTGTCAATTATTGACAGAATTAAAGGGTTTAAAGAATTAAGGTATACATTAGTTTGTGAATACTTTATTTCGAATGTAACTGTACACCCCGGGTAGGTTTAGAGTTGACATGAAAGAAAGTGCGTTTCGTCAAGAAAGAAACATACAATTTTTGTGCAAACTGACCGTTGAAATTACTGTTCCAGACCCGAAGGGAAGTCCTCGATGCATAACAAACAGTAAGGGCAAGAAAAGGTGGGCAGGTAGCAAGAACCTCGCGATAGCTCTTCGTTGCACCGACACCCTTTTCGTGGACTTCGTCAGCAGATGCCTCGAGTAAGTATCAAAATTTCTTCTCCTAATCAAGTTAAGAAAGAGTACAGTTTTCAACCCAACTTCAAAGAACTAATTTTCAAAAGTAGCAAAAGATTAATAAGGTCGATTTGTGATGTTCCAGGTGGGATCCAAAGAAACGCATGACCCCCGACGAGGCGATGCGTCACGAGTGGTTGAACTCGTCTTCCTCTCACGCGAGTAGTTCCTCGTCGTCGACGTTGGCTACCACGACGGTGAACACGAACGCGAACAGCAACGCGAACACGAACGCGAACACAACGAGCCTGGAGGCCACGTCGCAGTCGGCTCACGCGCAAACGATCAGCGTGACCGTGAGCGCACCCCGGCAGCGTGCTACCACGGTGGAGGATCCTCCCAACACGATACATCGTCTGTTCAAGAATTTCAAGTACGTGCAGAGGATCAGCATGACCGAGAACGCGGTCAACGGTGGTCTATTGGTGACGAGCAAGCTGAACGGTAGCGCGAGTAGCCACGCTCTCGCGAGCAGCACGCAGACGACTACCTCCTCGAGACACGCCTCGACCGGCGACATCGTCGCGAGTCTGGATCCGAATCTCGACGATTCCGGTACGTTTTTACCGCCGATATTGTGAAATCGGGTCTGCGCTAGCCATTTCTAGATGCTTTCTGTCGCGCGTACCGTGTCGCGATCGAACTTCGGCTCTTTCACGTACACCGGGCACGCTGTACGTTCGAAACGGTTGAATTAATATCTCGGCGAGGAAAGGTTCAATTTGGTCACGACAATAAAAAGCGTTAAACAAACGAAACAACGCACGGTTCGCCGTGAGGCTAAGACCAATAGACAGACACACGTTATCGCGTACACGTTGACGACGATGACCATATTCTTTTCGGATGCTCGGTTCGATACAGAGAGCGTGTCCGGTCAACGAGGAAATGGAAACCATTCGAGATACGATGATATCGAGGCATGTAGAAATTGGCTGGCCGGATCGAGCTCGATCGTTCTTCGACGCCAAAAGGCTAGGCAGAAGCGTTGCTAGTCTCGGCATGCGCCGAGATAATTCGAGGCCAAAATAATGTGATGAACCGGAGGCGCGTGCCGTGAAACAACGAGAGCATGGTTATATAGTAGAAATGCGGTCGTTTCGTTCGTTAGCCGAGCACGGACACAGACATACACGCGTAAACATACACGCATACACAGACACGTTGAACGATTTTAGCGTCTCGGCTCCGATGTATATGTCACTCAGGTAATCGTAAACGACGTGTGTGCACCAATCGTAGAGAGTCGATCGGAAAATAACGTAGAGTTTCGTTCCCCTCGCCCACGACATTCGTCCCTTATTCTCCGAGTATAGCAAGATTCTTACTAGGTATACGCGTTTTGCGAATCGGATACGACGAAGGATCGTTCGCCTTGCTTGACGATCGATTATACGAACTAGCCGATATTCGATCACGTGACACGAGTTGTGACCGAGTGTCGATAAAGATCGTTAGACGCAGCGGGTTCGATTCGCAGATTGACTAGCGCAAATTACGTTACGATTACTATATAAAAAAGTGTACGAGGAGCGAGAGGATGAATGCGTTTTTAACAACGAGATTCCCACGCGATATGATTCCCATCGAGTCAGCATCGAATTGCGATCACGTCGAGAGAGAAAGAGAGAGAGAGAATGAGAGCGAGAGTGAGAGAGAATCTGAGTCGTCTGAAACCCCGTGGCAACAGGGTCGTACGATTTAATAAATGAAACGTCAAGGCAAAACGACGACGACGGAGTGGCAAGTTACTCCGAGACGAAGCGTGCCCCAGTTTCAAGCGAGGCCTGAGTAGTCTTATTGTGATATTAATCTACCACTGTCTTATGTAGATCTCTGATATTAAGAAGTAAACGATCGCTGTATCAATGGTTTTCTTTTTTCATTACTATTAATAATCATTATTTTCTTAATACTGATTATCGCTCTCGCTATTACTGCTACAATATAATTACGATATTCACGGAATTATTCGATCAGTAATAACACACGAGAGATAACATTATTATCATTATTATTATTATTATTAATATTATTAGAAATGTACAGGTTTTTGAGTAAGCCCTCGAAATCCAACAGTTAACAGCACGTAACCGCTTTCTTCTTTTTTCCCCCTCTATTTTTGTGGAAAACGTCGTTAATCATTATTGTATTTCTAAGAGAATCGTAAGTCGCCCGAAAGTTCCCTGTTATCCTTTGCATGATTTCTCTAGCGACCCGAAGGGGCTCCGTAATTATTATTAATCGTTTTAGTCGCAAAATATTTGTGTTTTGCTGTACAGTTAGATCTATCGAAAAAGAAATCATTCGATTGTCGAACGCTTAGATTCGATCGTGATCATTATTTCTATCAATTATGCGAAGGATTTGAAGGGAACCTGTGTCGTGTTACGTACACGTCATGTTGCAAACGAATACACGCGCAAGCTAAGAAGAATATCCGCTCTCAGTGTTCAGAAATCACGAAAGTTCAATTTAACAAAGGATACACGAGCTCGTAGATTATCGTAGAATATTCGTACATCATTCATCATCCTTTCTTTTATTGTGTTCTCTTTTTATTTTGCATTTCGACCGGTCGTAATCGCTTCTCTCAAGGCGATCTCGTAAGTTGTCTTCGAGCATTTCGCTGAACCCGCAGCAAATTACAATTTAACCCTTTCGTTATGGATGACATGTGGGACCATCTTATTCACAATTAATTTACGATACACACATTATACAATGCAGTTTCATTAGATTCAATAGTCATTTTTTCTAATAAATATCAAGAATAAACTGAGAATTGATTTATGTTTTACTGTCACTGTGTACTTTTATTAAAGTGATCCATTAGAAACGCTTAATCTTTCAATTATACTAATTCGTATACCCTTATGGTGGTCCCATAACTTACAAAAGACATAATTCAAAATCTACGACTATTAGATACCTCGAGAAAGGGGTTAAATAATCACAAAAACTGCTGGAATCCTTAAAGCTTTAACATATAAAGTCAATGAAAATCATGCGACAAGACTGAAATAAATTAAATCGTCGATTATAAGATTTCATTATATTTAAATACTTCGTGTTAGGATCACGTGATACATTTCCCACGTCCTATTTATTCTACGATGTCCGAAACTCATTTGTTTTATTAATAGCGATTTAATGTAACTGTCCGAGTTCAATAATTTTGCACGTTTATTCCCGTTCGTGGATTATTTTACTGCCACAATTATGCTTTTAAAAGAAGACAACTTACATAATGTCACGACTATTATTAAACTAAAAAGCATAAATAGCGTAGAACGAGGTATTGAAAGAAATACAGTTTCAAAAGTTGGCACATTTAAAAAATGAAGACGAAAAGAAAATGTATTCGTTTCTTTTTTTCATTCGTATCTCCATGACAAAGACATTGGTTACTTTTTTTCTTTCAATACTCGAGAGGCCACGGAAAACGTAACATGAACTCACGAATCCTTTTTTCTCCTTTTTTCAATTTTTCGCAGGTTCATGAGTCGCGTAAACGAAATTGATCGATCAGAACGCGTAACGAGCGGTTTCATAAATTCGCAGACGTCATCGGCACGAGCGAAAGAGAGAAAAGAGCTGCCCCACGGAAGCAGTTTATTCATCCGTAGTCAAAGCGATGAGTCCAACATTTAACGAGCGTAGTATTTAAGGCAAAAAAAAACACACACGCATACACAGGTTTATAGTGAACAAGAAATATCAAATTGTGTATAATAACTAACATTAACAAACGCGTATGCATGAGTGCGCGAAAGCGAGCGTGAAACGAAGAAGAAAGGAAAACAAGAAGAGAAACGTGTTCGGTGAGAATGCGTCCGGAGTGAATGCGTTACGTTACTGCATATACATATATACATATACGATTTTACGTGTTAAGAAACCCACGCGGAAGCGACAAAACGAGTTAAACATAGGATATCCATTTAGAAATAAATAGAAAAGACCGTTTGAACAACGTAGCTCCGATACGCGGAGTTCTCTGCTCCCTTTTACCTAATCCTCCCACGTCTACCCTTGATATTACGGGCCTGCAGTCGTGTCAATTGAATTGCTCGCGAATAAAAAGAGGCAAAAAAAAATGTTTGACGCGAAGAAAGAAATTTCTTTAAAGTGACTTATGATCCAGTCTCGCGATTGGACGCATTTATTAGATACCTACGATGAACGTTCACTAAACATAATTATATACGTACTATGACTGCCGGTATTCCGTATAAAATAGTACGTTCATTCATCAAAATGTTAGAGTTTAAAGTGTTAAGCGCGGGTGGTGAAACGGGACGAGCATTCGAGTTGGCTCGGGTCAAAGATATTTGATCGAACTCGAATAAGAACATACGGACTATAAGAATTTATTAATCGTATTTTTAAATTTGAGAAGATAGAAATTTCGTATTTGCAAATTTAGGAGTTTAGAAGTTTTAAATTTGAGAATCTAGAAATTTTTCATTTTCAAATTTAGAAGTATAGAGATGTCGTATTTTCGAATTTGAGAATATAGAAATTTTAATGTAATATACGAGTAATTGGGATTTCTAAAGATCTGTACCCAATACGACTAGAGTCCGAAATGTCTGGTACCCACACACTCCTAATTAAGAGCATAATTATCGAATCGGAAAGATTCTCTTCGCGTCATATCTATTGCATTGAACGATTCAATTGAATCGACTGAAAGTATTTGGCGCGAAGAGTCGATACACGAAAAGAATGTACGAAAATCGAACGCAGAATATGTCGATTGTTTCGTACAATTTTTCTCTACGTATCAGTGGTTCACGCCAATAATAACTGTACAGTCGTTGAGTTTTAGTTGTGTTCACTATATTGTATACAGTGGGATCAAATTACGTGCGTTAGGATCGACTGATCTACGTGAACTGACGCGTTTCGAATACGGCGCGCGTGCGTCTGCGCATCTATTTACGCATGCGCGAGCATCACGTGACACGATGCGCCTAAATACGAAATATTGAAGTATACTTTCTAAAAAGAAACGAAACACACAAAAAAATAGAAAAGAGATAAAAACGATGTGTTTAAGCTTGAACTAATTAGACGATGCATCCTCGAAACGAAAGCTCGTTGTATCAAATTCGAAATGGATAGAGAAAGAATCATTGGTCGTGGTCCGAATTTCTTTTGGTTCTATAAAAGAGAAACCAGAATAGAAGCGGACGGAAACGACAGTCGCTTTCTAGTCCGAAAACGTGCGTAACAAAGAAAGGGGATGGTCTAAAAGGTCTAAACTCTACGAAATGAAAAGAAATAAAAAAACAAAGGGAGAGACTCTCTTTCAGGCTTCAGCGTGGAATGCTCTTAGCGTATATCTGTTAGGACAGCGTGTAACTAATTATCGAGTTAACGACGTGATTAGATCTATCGAATTCAATTAGATAGTAATTTGTGCGTACACGGTGAGATCGTTGCCACCGCCACGACCGTCCCTTCTCCCCCTCCCTTCTCGACACAAGATTGATCCTTCAACAAAACGATCGATCTACGAAATTATGACGATTGATCGTTCTTAGTGTAATTCAATAGGACAATCACGAATAACAGTTTTGTGTTAGCGTATTATGGAAAAAGGAAAAAAAAAAGAATTCTCTAGTTAAGCAGCGTCCGTAGGGACACGAGTATTCGAGCACAAAGTGTCGTCTTCTTACATGAAATATCTCCGTTGAAATATGTAAAATTGCGCGCGCTGTTTAATTGATCGACAAACTCCACGAAAATTTGTGTAAATTTCTTCGTTATATGTTTCTCGTCACCGTCGAATTCACTTAATTAGATTTCACGTCGTTAATTATATGTCGTATCCCTTTTAATGGAAGCATGTACAAAATGTAATAATAAATATATCTTTGGTAACGACACAGTTTTTCGCATGTTTGAGATACAAAGATCGTTAGCGTAAATTCTGCTCGTAATTTCTCGTTTAGAAACATGTTAAAGCGTCGTCGAGTCGAATGAACATCTTGAAAAGGATTTTTATTCGACTCGTAACGATGAGCTTCGCCAAAACGAAATATAAGATTTAAGGCGGGAGGGGGAAAGGATATAAACAGAGAAATAATAAAAGAAATATGGCAGAGGAGAGAGAAAGAGAGCGAGAGAGAGAGAATGAGAGTGAGAGAGCAGGAATTGATAACGATTATTCGTAACTCGGCGTTGAACATCAGGGATGATCTTGTTACATTGTGTGTAAATGCGAGTTCGTCAATTTCTGCCCAACTTAATTATAGTGAACGAAGAAAAGAATTGCTAATAATAAATGATTATAATAATGACATTAGTATATGTAATGATACGATACTGAAGCATCATCATCTTTTGTATCATTTGTTCGTTTGTTTTTATCTTACTGCGTTTGTCTTTCATTATTAATGCAATACCAAGATGACTCGGTTTCGACACGGTATCTTGTGTGTAAATATATACTAATAAAAAATACAAATACAAGAATAACGTCTTAATTATTCTTCGATTCAATTACCCTTAATTATAATACATTTCGCTAAAGAATTTGTGAACATCAAGACATCGTCATATTCCGTCAGGTATGTTAATTTTAAATGTTTTAAATGGAACGGTAGAAATAAATACAAGGTATATAGATGTTTTCAGATAGATTTATCACTGTTTTACATGTATATATCATTTCGATATTAATCCAAATTAAATAAGATTCAAAAACAGAATTCATTTAAAAGATTATGCCTTAAATACACACGAAAGTGATGTGTAACAAATTTCAATTGTTAAGGAAAGCGTAGAAAAGAATAAATAGAATATTTTTATAGTGAAGATCTTTCGTAAAGATTTCCAATGGATAGAAGGCACAGGATGCAATGTTACATACAACAGATATAATTAGCATCGTTCAACAGCACATGTACATTTAACATCTTGCCTTGAATCATATTCTTTTAAGATACCTGTTTTACAGACACATATTTCTAGAAGAAACTTAATAAACAATTTAAATAGCTGTTGATGATTTTTGCATGCACGAGAATAAACACAGACATATATGTATGCTAATTTGATTATTTGAAATCTTGAGGTAAACATTAGAATCCTATTGTCCCAATGCTACCTTCTTCTTTCTCCTTTCTGTGTTTTCCGTTTCTCCTTCTTTTCTTCCTTTAACTGTTTTTGTTTCTCCCTGAATGAAAAGACATATTCGTTAGCAACACATGTAGTAATGTTTCATGCAGAAAGAATAACTCATACCTATCCTCTTTGTCTTTCTCTTTTTTCCTTTGACTGTCTTGTTTTGCTTTCTCCCTTCGTTCTTTCTCTTGCTGTATTATTGTTGCAACATTTGTGTTCTTTTCAATTCCACAATCTCCTCCACTTGCTCCATCCTCCTCTCCCTCACCTTCGCTGTTTTCCTGGTCTGACATTTGACTATACTGAGCAAGAATTGCTTCCCTTATCCGTCTTTCTTCTTCAGTGTAACTTTTTTGTGTGGTAGTTGGAAGAGACTGAGATTCTAACATTCGTGCCAGTCTGACATCCACATCTTCAACTGGTACTTTTGAAGCAGCAACATCTTCAACAGGTAGCCACTTAGCCCAAGCACTCAAAATTTCTGCTACGTGTTTACTAATATCATTGTCCTAGAAATCAATAAAATTAAAGAGTGCAATTTCAAAACGTAAGGTGTCATTCCATAAATATACATACGGCATGACATCGTCGAATTATTAACACGTTAAAAGGATACAACGAGTGTGTCGACGATATTTAAACATGCATGTATAAAGACAAAATGTACATCGTATCGAATTTAAAGAGATACATGCGAATCATCGAGAGATACAATAATAATAGCACCGTTGTTATTTTTGACCGGCTGATAGACTTCGACTACGAATAGCAAGCATATTCTAACCTCACAATCCGTGTGCTCCTCACCGTTATGCCCGAGAGTATGCCTTCAAGGGCTTCGGTCTTCTCATCCTCCGATTCATCACCTTCTAAAATTCCTTTGATGTATGATCCAAAAACACCTTCGTCAGTATTTAAAGCCTGCAACTTCTTGCTGAGCCAACTATCAAACGAATTTGTCGCTACCGCCATGTTCGGCTTTTTCAAGTTTCCGACTCTCCTACGGAGTGAGTCATTTAAATCGATTCCCACAAATGTTGTCACAAAATGTTGCAAATTTATTATATCATAAAAATGTTGCAAATAAAATTTCGTTTGAAAATAATTTTATGTAACATTTTTATGGTTGAATGTGTAGAACGTGCTTGAAATCACGACCAACCGTAACTACAACCTAACCCGATGACCTAACTTAACACTAACTAACCTAACCATAACATAATCCAGTCCCACCCTGGCCAAACTCTTTAATTTTGAATATTTATAAGTTAGACGCCAATAAGTGTGTAAAAAATTATACAATGTTTTGAATAGTTCTTACATTAGTAAAAAATTTATTTACAAGCTGTTAATACAATCGCCTATATGAAAATAATGAATGACATAACTTATAATACATGTTTCTTACATTTATAAAAGTGTATTTCCATTCTTTATGTAAATTAGATGATCATGAAATATTCCTTCATAATGAATGTGATACATGAATGTACAAAGTCTGTTTGAAAGATGTTTCTATTTGAAAACATAAATTTAACTGTTCATTTCCATTTCTTCTGGCTCTTGTTCATCATTAGATTCTTGCATCTTTTCTTCTTGCTCTGCAGCTTCCTCCAACTTTCTCCTTTCTTTCAATCCTGCAGCAGGTGATCTTATAAGAGATAAATCACGTTGAACTTCTCTAATGTCTCTTTCTTGTTCTATTTCACGTCCTTTACGCAATCTCTGCATTATATGTAGATTCTGTCTCCTCTGTCTAATATTTTCTACTTTTTTTATTGCATCAATCGTCTTGTTCCATAATTCTCTATTATATTTAACAGGGATGTTTCTTCTCTTTTCAAATTCAAAGGATGGATCCACTGCCAACTCCTTGCCAACAGTTTTCCTGTATGCTTTGGTCCATTTGACTTTTCTTGGATTTTTCTTCTTCTTGAATGCAGCATGACATTTTGAACGACAAAATCTGAATATCTGTAATATAAGTATGCATCATGCATTAGCTAACACCAGTAACAAAATATCGAATGCAATTTACAAAATTAGAAAGTGTATACATAGCATAAAATAACGTTAAAAATATGTTCGCAAATGTACACATAACCTAAACACTATAAGAAAACTAACCTTATACAATATTCTTAAGCTATAAAATATGGATTCCTTAATCTACATTTACCAATTTTTAACGAAGTACTAACCTTACAATCGTTCCTTACAAATTGAATTCCATGTCCTGGATAAATCCGAGACGAACAAAAATAACACGTTTCTATACGCATGTTGCATAAGGTTATGAAAACCTTAGGCAAAACTTGGAAGTGAAACGCGAATGGATGTTAATTGGTAAGAGAACATCCTAATAAAATTAGACAGCTAACAGCGCCACCTACAAATTATGAATAACAAAATAAAAATGTTTCTATAATTATTTTATTATACATTCAATTGAGTACGTGACTAATATTCAGTTAGGTATTCATAGGAAAAATTTTATCGATAAATTTTTAGTAAAACCCAAGATGAAGACGTTTTTAATGCACCGTTTAAAATGACCGCTAAACAAAACCGAATCGTAGAGACATCTAACAAGTAAGGGTCTTCGAACGAAAGTCAGTGGTAGTGGTGTTCGATGAAGTCTTCTCGTTCATCCGTTTGGACGTAGTTAGTAAAAATGAACGTTGTGGCAAAATCGACCAGTTTGACACCTTATTTGAGGTCGACTGTGGCTACAGTTACAAATGGATTGCAACCGATAACTGCAAGTGGTCCTATTAAAAAATCAAAAATTGTTACCGAACCTGTCGTCAGTCTAATGCTCAACGAAAGTATGTTACGAGCTATTATTACAGGGCCTCTGCGTGTGAGCTCAGGAATCGGAGGTTTGAAAACTTTATTCAAATACTATTCTATTAGTAGTCACACCTTTTCAATAAATTCTAATTTTATATATAATATGATTATATAATCATGTCTTATACATTAGATTTTACAGATCACTGTAGTACCAATTGAGTTACCTAATATATTTTAAAAAGAGAAATTTGTTTGTCATTTTTTTATTATTTAAAGAATGTAAGTATATCTTACTCAACTAACATAGCAACATTTTTATAATTGATCACTACAGCGACCAAAGCAACAAGCTTACAAGCAACGCAAAGGCGATTGGCTCATACTGATATTCAATGGCCAGATTTTACTCCCTACCGTCAACAATCCAATAAAGACCCTACAGTTAACGATCCAGACAAAGCAGATACCCGTAAAACCTACACATATGTTGTAACAGCAGGTCAGTAAATTTATTGATTTTCTTTGCTATGGTGATATTAATTTTTAATTATGCTACAGCTCTAGGAGTTGCCGGAGCATATTCTGCAAAATCAATAGTACATAATGTAGTAGCTATGTTAGCTGCATCTAAAGATGTTATGGCTTTAGCTAAAATTGAAGTTAAACTTGATACAATTCCCGAAGGAAAAAGTGTTGTATTCAAATGGCGTGGAAAACCTTTATTCGTACGCCACAGGTAAGTGTTTACATATTATAAATTCATCATATTATGCATACATTATTTAAAATTTATATTTACTTTAAAATAATAATAGGTCAGCAAAAGAGATTGAAAAAGAATCACAAGTTGATATTGCAAGCCTCAGAGATCCACAAGAAGATAAGGATCGTGTGAAACAGCCAGAATGGTTGATAGTTTTAGGAGTATGTACACATCTGGGATGCGTTCCAATTGCAAATGCTGGTGAATTTGGTGGTTATTATTGCCCGTGTCATGGTTCCCATTATGATGCCAGTGGAAGGATTAGGAAAGGACCAGCACCTCTAAACTTGGAAGTGCCAGAATATGAATTTCTTAATGAGACTACAGTAGTAGTTGGTTAAAGTATGAATGCTTGTAGTCAAATAATAATGTTATTTTTAATGACACACCTTTTTTCACGTATTATTCCATTCAAAATTTAAACAAAACATTTCCTATACAAAATTGAGTCATCAGTATGTGGGAACTACAAATGCAATAAAATTGTGTAAATAAAATAATAAATTTAACCAAAATAGAACAAGTTTATTTAATTCGTTTTCGAATAAGAGTTATTAATTAATAGTAATTGTAAATGGATGCTATTAAACAGTGGTGTCATCCTACTTTGTTGCACAAATAATTATAATGTGATGTAGTGAAGTGAAGCTGGACCCATTGACGTAGTTGTAGCTGATTTCAAGTGGGTCGCGTTAAATATTAAAATATAAATTATTTAACAGCACTAAAGTAATATTTTTCATTTAACCCTTTCTATTTTTTTTTTTAATACGTATTCTAAACGAGTAGATTGTGAAGAACTATTGTTTTCGAAAACTATATCTATAGGACTTTAAAAATTTGAAACTCTGGGTTCGAGACTTCGGTACTTCAGAATTTTGAAATTAGAACCATGAGCTTAGCAATAAGTCTGATATTAGTAAAAGAGAACTATGAATTTCGTATTATATTCAAAATTCTACGAGTTCTTGAATATAAAATGAATCTTCCCGCTTCCACTAGGCGGCGCCACCTAATCTAGACGAAAATTTCGTTTTCGAGGCAAGACAAGGGCGTCTATGCGACCGACAATCTGCCGGCCGATCCTCTGTTTTCAGTCGCCTTCGCTGCGGGCAGCGTACGGACGGAAGAGTTGAGAATTTTTCGCGAAAATCGGTTGTGTTTCTTACACTGTCATCACTTTACCGCCATTGTATACGATGATACAAAAGTCCGTAACTCTTCGAAGCGTGATTTTCGTGAGCGTACATTCGAAATAAGAACGAAAATGTACTTCCGAAAATGAGTTCTCTGTTGGCGCGATACCGGTACCTAGAAGTACATCGCAAAAGGGTTATGATCGAATAGCATTCGATAACAGTTATTAAGGTGACACTTCGAAGAACAAGAAAAATAGGCGGGAGGCGGATGCGTGGAAAACCGATTTTGGTAAGGTTTCATTTATTTTATCTAATATTTATATATTTCTTTTTATTTCATCTTTACCCGCTTTTATTATTTTAATATGTATTCATACAATATTATGTCGACAAATCACGTGTGAAAGCATATTATATCATAATTCAAAGTTGTCAAATGGAAGTGCATGATAAACTAACAAATTTTGTTCACTTTCAATATGCATTTCGTGTCAGTTTAAATGATCCTTTAATTTGAAATAAATTTTTGATCCCATCCGGTAACGACAAATCCACTCGCATCGTTGACGATACCGACAATAGTTATTGAATGGAATCCGAAACAGATTTCCGTCGCGTAAATCAAATCATTATAGCAACTTAGGGCAATGGTTTTCGTAACCTTACCGAGATATGTTTGTGTCTGCATGTTTAGTTCCACTGGTACGATGACTTTTGTACATTCAAATCATAGTTTGCATCCTGTTAACGGTTCTAGCACAAGCACTCATAGTTTTTGCGACACTACTTGCGTGCCTTTCGATTCGTGTAAACAAAAGCACCGATCGTCATACTTCGAAACGATCAGTGCGTTAAGGTCGGCTCTGCATATGGAAAGTTAGTTATTCTTCGCTTTGCGTTATATAACTAAATGTTATATTAACATTACAAATATTAAAATACGTGTTTAACATTTCGAACATTTAAATAATTTTCTGAAGATTGTGGTACGGCTTGTGACAACGTTTGGTGAGAAAGCTTCATTGACTATATTTAGACTGTAATAGAGTACATTAATACTTTATAGAATTCAGAGATCAAATTAAAGATGCAAACTTTGGGTTTAATATTAAATTAAATTAAATTAAAGTTTAATAACTTTTAAGTATGTTTGAAAGAAAATGGAATTAATTTATTCTGGAGTACGGTTAGGTTATTAACAGGTCCAGATATTAATAATCTTTTTTTCCGATTGATAAATAAATATTGTTTGTAATGTCGATTGCTTCAAGTTGTACTCGCTATCGAATAATTTGATATTTCCGATACGAATTGTAAGTAGTACGCATTAGTTTCGATAAGCAACGGTTGTAGCGATATCGGCTGTCATTGTTTTTTCCCGCGCAATCGCGATTTCCACGCACCGGCTGCCGTATTTCGGTTATTCCGGTTAATTACCCCCTGGATAACGCGAGCTGGACTCGAATAATAAGAAGGCAACAAAGTTCTGTTCGGCGTGCATTGAGGTTATTCAATATCGAAGGACGTGTTGTCCGGATCTGGTTTACTGTTTGCAAATGCTAACGCTGACCCTCTCCAGAATTTCGAATACGCGCCACGTTGCAAGTGCAAAGCCGCGGTTACCGGGCTTTTTTTGGCCACGATAGAGCCCCCCTTTTCCCTCCCGCCGTGCACACCACTTTAGCAGCCCTTGCCTCTCTTCCTCCTTTCTTCTCGTACCTTCGGCGTACGTACAGCATTCTAATTCTTTATGCAGCCGGCCAAGGAAGTTCACAGTAGGAATGCACGGAAGGGAGGTTGCAAAATCCTGTTCCCTTGTTTTTTTTTCTCTTCGTTCCCTCTCTGTCGCTCTTTCTGTGAAAGAGGTCGTTTTGTGCCCTGCATTCATCGCGACGCACTGGCTGGTGCGCGTGTGTGCACACACTGCCGATCGAGCCACGTGTGTCCGTGTACGTACTCGCGGCCTAGGGAAAACGAACTAGTGTGCGTACGCTAGTATATGCGTGTGCGTTTGCGTGCGTGCGTACGCTTCCGAAAGTGAGTGGGACACGCGGTCCTTCACGCTGAAGGAGAATCAATAGATGTGCGTTGCATCTTGCCCCTCTTGTCCCCCATTTCGGCTATCCCGCGCGCACCCTTCTTCTCTGCCGCTGACTCGACCTTCGCAGGAGAGTACCTTCGTCGAGCATCCCTTCTTCACGATTCGGTTGCTGTTCGGTATTGAAAGATGTGCAGTAGATGATGGCTCGTTGTTGGTCCGTACAATTTTAGTCTTACGTAAGCTGATGGAGGGTGAATCTGTCACGGTGGACAACCTTCATAAGACAGATTCTGGAAAAGTCATTTACGGAGGCGGATTTAGGGTGCGCCCTGGATTTCTGTTTTTGAAAATTTAATCAATTATTGATGTTTTGAGCAACAGGAACCTTTTATAATTTTATCTGAAGGTCTGATAGTAGGATTGGAGAAAGTACACTGTGCAAAATTAATAATTATTCATTTCTATATTATTAGAAGCTTTTTTATGTGGAAATACGATAATGGATACAAGGAGTACATTGCACTGTATTTTTTTATTGTGACAAATGTTCTATTGTATAAGTAGTCACATTAACATCTAATGTCTATTTAACTATAATTATTAAAAATTTATGAATTTTGGTACATTGCTTTACCTATAAAATATATTCATATTGAAATAAGTTAAATTAGGTTCTGTTAAAATTGCGGTTACTTTTACTCGTATTAGATTAGGTTACAATTAGACATTGGTTACAATCATTACAATAATGATTGGATTAGATCCTTTCACTAGATCCTGACTAGAAGTTAGCCAGACTTATTTATACAAAGTTAGGATTACTTAGGTTACATAACCTTGTCCATTGTAGCAGAGAAATAAAACCTAAGAATGCAAATACACGACCTGGAAAATACATGGTATAAAGGGATATTTTTATGTGAAAGTTATGTTTCCATGATTCCAGTGAACGTTTCAATCGATTTTACACGATGTTCGTCCGTGTCTTACTACCCCCGCTTGTGTCATGTAGAAGGTGTTATCCGATAGAAAGTTGACGCGTAAATCAAGATACAACGACGGATAAACGGCAATTGCCATATAATCCGTCAAAATACAACGAGTTCGACGTATGCTCGAATCGTGCGTTTAGCACCGACTATCCTGTTACATCGATTAAATGTAGAGATACCTGTTCGAGTAGCAACCGTCCTTATCCGACTACTGAATTATTTAACAGGAGAATCGTTGTTTAATGATGCCTGCGTCGTTTTACTTCTCCCCTTGCTTGTTTTCCCGCGTTACTTTGTAATGTTACTTCAGCGGTTATGTTTGGTAACTGTTGCTGTTCAAATGTTACACTTTTAATCCTTGATGTAATTGAACACTAAAATTATAGTGCATTTCTTTCTTTGGTATTGTATTGGGTGAAGAAGGCTACAGATTCAAATTAAAATAAAAGGCTGCAGTAATAATTAAAATATTTAGTACTTTAGATGGTATTTGTTTACAAATAGCAACTCTGTGATTAACTGTCGATTTCTAAAGATAAAAGAGGTAGAGTTAATAATTTTAATAACCACAAATTGCATCGTGCACGATAGGAGTGTATACTAATATGCCCGCATATTTATTGATCTATCCGTTTATCCGAATACCTACCCCGTAGTCCTTAACTTCGGAGGGTTGCACGGGGTGCAACTTTTAACGTTGATGTACACATAGAAGCCAGTGATACGGTTACAGTGCTTCAATCGTATTCCAGATCGACCCATTCTTACCAATACTTTCTGTTATCATTTATTTCTTTCTAGGAAGCTAAAACATTGAATCAATTTCGACAGAGATCCATAGCCTTACACTTGTCGTCCTATCGTTTCATTTCAAATAAAATCCTAAAATAATTGTGTACTTGCTTAAAGCGTGATTTAATGTTCTCTACATGCTAGTGCTTCAATGCAATATTTAATGCAATATTACAGTACCCGATTAATTCTTATCTGATTGAAACGGGATTCAATGGACCAATACATTCAACCATGTAATCGTAATATAATTCGATAGATAATTTTGTCAGACATTATGTTCTAATGACTCTTAAAAATAAATACACCCTTTGCACATGCGCTAGATCTCATTATATTAGACCATTATTAATCATCATACGTTATCAGATCAAACATTAGATCCTGTGTTACGCAAAAAGTTTAACCGTCCTTTCAGAAAGCCCCTAAAGGTTAATATAATTAAAAGCTTAATCAGTCCAGTAGCAAAAAGCCCATTTCTGCGGAAGCTTTAAGAAAATTTAAAAATCCATCGGAGGTGAGCAACCCTTCACCGGCAGAAAGTTGCATTTTGGTAATAAGGGGGTGGGGCAAATCGAAGCGAGGACCGTGAAAAAGCAGCGAAAGCGAGCGCGGGCAATCGTAATCGCTCGGAACGTGGGCGAGTTTGGGAAAGGAAGGTTTGGGGGGGTGAAAGAGGGTGAGTCAGGGAGGCACAGGTGAAAGCGAAGCCAAGGTGGTCGAGTTAGAGCGGTGTTTGGGAGGGTGAAAGGAGGTTAATGATTAGTTCTTCCGAGGTCGGGGGCTGTTGCCGGGTGCAGGTTGCCTGGCTCCCTTCAGACCACCCCGTTTCGCCCTTCCGCCCCCCTGGAGGACATCATTCCACCCTCCCTCGTGCCGTTTCCTCCCGCTTTTTCGCCCTTCGATCCCCTCCGCACTCACCGATTCTGCCAACCTCCGAAATTTCTGGCCCTACCACCGACGCAGCTACGCATACCGCCGGGAGAACGGGGGTGTGAGAGCTTGCAAGGTTGTTTTCCCCTCCAACTTTGCTGCTACCTTCAGGAACGTAGCTAGACCGCGCGGAATTTCCGGGCCGCGTGTGCTCGAGAAATTTTATGCAACGTATCGTCCACTCGTTTCAGCCTCGCTGAAAAATTTTCACGGGGGTGAACGAGGATCGCGGTATGCGAGACATTGCCTTAATTATCGAGCGATGCCAGTTATGCGAGGCAGGGCTCGTAATCTCCGCTGAAATTCGTTCCGATGCTCCGCTACCTTTTGGACACTGGCTGCCCCAATTACCAACGCAATTGTATTTTGCTTATATCTTAACTATACAATTTAGGAATTTTATTTTCTTTGAATGTCTATTGTACAATTTCTCTTTTATCGACGAGTTTAAGTTGTTTCTACTACTATTTGTTTCTTTCTCTCTACTGCTACTACTACTACAGCTACTGTAGCTGTTTCACATTGTGGCGCAAGGAAGATGTAAATGAAGGGGTTTTTTGAAATTTATATTCTTGGACATATTCGATCACCACCGAGGCTTTGAATTAACTTGTACAACTATATTTCAATTTAAAAAATAGTAAAATAAGGTACTCATTAGATTTGACCATTCAAATCTGATCTTACATGGGTTCTGTCATGGATTAAATTAACTATGTCTCACTTAATACGTTACGTGAATAATGTTCACTTAATACATTTTTTAAATGTGTTTAATAAAACAAAGACAATGTATGTAAACCATGATATACTCATTTCTATTGAAACTTCTTTAAATAATATGTTTCAAATCGTGATTAAATGATTGTACTTCCAAATAAGAACCATACACAAAGTTGCACAACGAGTTCGTCTACTTGTTAATTTCATTAGTTGAAAAGGTATGTAAGGGATGCTTCACGGGGCATTACTCTAAGCGTCATCTAGCGAGGAAATTTTTCATTACCTTCCTTCTTATTCGGGTTACAACGAAGACGCGTGTACGAGAGAATGGTCGTAATTAATGCGTTCACGCTAGAAGTTGTCCACCCGTGAACCATTCGGTGTCAGCTGGGTTTAGGTGGAATTTCTCATATGCGGGCGTAAGGATGTATGAGTAGTCGCTTTGCAATATTTGTATCGTTCGTAAGTAGATAAGGCTGCGGATGCATTCGGAAACCGCATATGAAAGGTGTTAGTGTTGATTGTGTGAATATAAAAACGTAATTTAAACTGTGAATATGGTTAAGTATGAATGTTAGCGGACGTGGTGGTTTTGGAGGTGTGATTGACGAGGAAGTGAATAAAAATATGGATGATAATTTTCTTTGAATGTTGAAAAATCAGAATTGAAGCAGAAATTATTTCCAAGTGTATTTTAAGTTTAATTGTATCATTGTTATACTTCACTGTTACATTGCTATAAATCTATCAAATCCCAAAGTGTTCAAATAGCTAAACATCTCAAAGTCCCAGAGATTTAAGATTTCAAAGATTCAAACACTCAAATATCAAAAAATCCCACAAATCTAAAATCTCAAAGTCTCAAATATTCAAATACCCAAAACTTCCAAAGATCTAAAATCCCAAAGTCCCAGATCTACAAATACGCAAACGTCCCAAAGATCTAAAGTCCTCAAGTCTCAAATACCTAAACACCAAAAACTCTGAGACCTTCAAACAAAAAGTCGCAGAACACCAAAGGCCTCTTAATGCACCCTCCACTAATTCCAGTACAACATGAAAGGAAACAAATGCCCCCATAGTCGATTACATAGCAACCTTGTGTATTGCGTCGATTTCTAACCTTGTTCCGTCGTTTGGCCGGTGGTCCCATCCATATTTTCGTTCGTCCGCGTGCTAGTCAAATTATCTTATCGATTCCGCGAAAAAGCCTTTGGCCTTTGGCTCGCCCCTGGCGAACGAAACGTTGCGTTGGTTCGCTGCAGAAAAAAAGTGTAACGAAGTAAAAAAAGAGAAGAAGAAAAAAGGAAGGAAAAGGTTCACAACGCTCGCCCTTTGCAACGTCAGCCCTGGCCGAGAGGTCGCCCTTGTAACCAGGGACGGCCGAGCAAATTCTATTTCGGTCTGGAGTATAGAAATCAACTTTTGCAAGTTTAGAGTTTGGGGATTTAGGGATCTTGGGATTTGGAAATTTTGGGAGTTCAAGGTGGAGGGATTTTTAGATTTGAGGAGTTGAGGATTTGAGGATTTTGGGAATTTGGGGATTTAGGGATTTGGGGAATTTGGGATTTGGGAGATTTGGGATTTGGGA